TATTTACCAAGTTAATTCTGCCATTATTGCCAGATCCCATAGCCTTGTTGTTGTTAGTTGTGAAGTCGTGTCTGACCCATTGCGACCCCATGGACGACATTACTCCAGGCCTTCCTGTCCTCCACCATCCCCTGGAGTCCACTTAAGCTCACGCCGACTGCTTCAGTGACTCCATCTAGCCACCTCATCCTCTGCCGTCCTCTTCTTCTTTTCCCGTCAACGGTTCCCAGCATTAGGCTCTTCTCCAGTGAGTCCTTCCTTCTCATTAGGTGGCCAAAGTATTTGAGTTTTATCTTCAGTATACAGCCTTCTAAAGAGCAGTCAGGGTTGATCTCCTCTAGGACTGACCGGTTTGATCGCCTTGCTGCCCAAGGGACTCGCAGGAGTCTCCTCCAGCACCACCATTCAAAGGCCTCAATTCTTTGGTACTCAGCCTTCCTTATGGTCCGCCTTTCACAGCCATACATTGCAACTGGGAAAACCATAGCCTTGACTATACGCGCTTTTGTCGGCAGGGTGAGCCTTAAAAAGCAATAAAAACAATCAGAGGAGCTATTGTCCTTCATCCTTTTCCCAAAATGAAACTATTCAGCTTTTTTTTCTGTAGTGAAATATCTGCCTTTTCCATAAAATCTTTTACAGAATTAAGGAGTATCCTAAGAGGATCCCTTGGGAGATTGGCTTTTTGCTTGCTTATAATAAGCAGGTCATGGGATTCTTTGGAGATTCAGTGCTGAGATCTGAAAAGAGCTACATCCTCAGTACTAGGAAATCTATACTCTCAGGTCATGGAATGGAACTTGCCAGCTGACTCTCTGAGGTTGGAAGAGTGACTTCGGAGAAGGGTGAAGAGCACATTCCGGATGTGGGGAGAGGAAGAGATGGGTGGCTGGGACACAATGTATCCTGGTAGCACTCTAGTATTCTTCCTTCTCTGTGCAAAAAGCCATTGCTGGATGGTTCATCCATCTTGTTGATTTGCAAGGCCGATGCGTGGAGATCATCTTCACCTCGGCCTTCATTCTGCCCTGCACAGGATGTCCATAATCCTCCAAGTTTGTAGGTTTGTGGGGATCCCCACTGAATTGTGCCTAAAGTAAGTTAGCTACTTCAAATCTTCAAATCTCTTTATGCTAGGTTTTACCATTCCCATAACTTAGCAAGCATACACTTGGAGTCAGAGAAGATTCCTCTTACCTTCCTCAGTCAGAACTTTGAGGAGGCAGCGATCCATCTTTGGTTGTCCAAGCATCAGGCCTCGACGCTGACTTGCCTTAAAGAGCAGAGTTGCACACGTGGCTTACCCAAATCTATTGACAGGGCAAGCTCTGAGTAAGTCCTACTGAACTCAGTGGTAAGCGGGTGTGGGATTGCAGAGGCAATCAGCCTTATTTATTGAGTGCAATTATAGGCTGACCTCCAGATGAAAGACACCGTAGTGGTTATAAAACCAGTTCTATGCCATTCTTCCTACATAATTCACCCCAAATCCTGGCCCTAAAGCTCCTTTCCTTTCCATTTGCCAGGAGAAGCTCAGAAGCTCTGTACTGTAGTCTTCCACAGCTGGTGCCCTCCAGATGTTTTAGATTTCAAGTCTAAACCCCAGCTAGCATGGCTTTATGTCAAGAGTGCTATAAACTGTAGTCTGGAATATCTAACCCACTTAATACAGCAGCCTGTTCCAATCAGAGGGAAGTTTCTTTCCTAGAGTGAAAGTCGCCCCCATCTTTGCAGCAAGAAGCCCCAAAACAAGACCGTTCTGTTCCAAAACTGAAGTAATCAAAGTTCCTTGATCAAATTTTGAATAACAAAGATGATTTTAACAATTCATTGGTTTTATCCTTGCTTTTATTACTATTTTAGATGCCGTGTGCCGTGTGTGTTGTTCTTATGGTTTTGTTCTTGGTTTTTGTACCTTGTAAGCTGTCCAGCGACTTTTTTAGTTATGGATGGCATAGAAAGAGTTTAAATAAATAAATACAAATATGATCAAGCTTCAAATGAAACCAGAAGTGGCACCTACTGACAAAAACATTCCTTTTTCAATGCATCCCCTTAAACTATTTATATGACAGCACTGAGTTTAATTATTTTTTACATTTTGTCGATTTATAATTTACATTATAAATTGTTTTTGTCTATTTGTTACAATGTTTTAATTGTATCATTTTATTAATATTATTATTGCAATGGCCACCCAGAGAGCATTATGCTAATGGACGGCTTTTATACAAATTTAATAAATAAAAAGAAATAAAAACATAGGAAGGGCAGGAATGCCGAGGTTCGAGTCCTTCACTGCAACAGTTACTTGTTTTTTATTTCTATTTTTTCCAGTGAAAAATGCTCACTGCCCCACAGCGAGGTCTTCACCCGCTGCATTCCCGACCGTGTCCACTTGAGGGCGCCAGCCGGAGGCAGGAGTGCTTCCCTGCGGGGACACATCCGGAACGCGGGTGCCGCGCGCGACCGGCTCGCCCGGGTCGCCTGCTCGTCAGTCGTCCTCGTGCGTGGAGGGTGAGAGGCGCCGGCGGCGGCGCTGCCCGCGTTTGGCTTCCTTCGGAGCACTGAAATGTGTATCGAAATGGCCTGCTTTGCCAGTGTGCACGCAGACGACGGGCAACCCGCGGTGAGGAACTTGGGCTTTTCCCTCACCTGCAATGGCTACCATCCTTTACCGTTACCTGTGCTGGCTAGTACTGATGGGAAATGTAGGCCAAATCAGATGCCACTCTCGGCATAAGTGGAGGCCTCTCTAGAAAGGCATCCTGGGCCCTGTGATGCCTCTTGCCTTTAGCTCCCAGCTTTCCTCTGTCAGTCACCCCAACGGTGTCCTTTGTCCCTTCCACCGTCCTTAACCTAGTGACCTCCAAAGGTTTTTCATTGCAGCTCCCATCACCCCCAGGCTTCAAGGCCAAGTTGTAGCCTGATGCATCTGTGAAGAACATAATATTTTTCTTGATGATCAAACAAGAAGGGTCAGTTACAGTTTCCTTGGAGAGACACAAGAGGGTCAAAAATATAAAATAAATCTTTGCCAACAAGGTCAGAATTTATAAAGATAAGCCTGGAGGCAGATGTTTTGACACCAAATGTACTGAAAGGAAAAGTAGGTCAAGAAAATAATGTACACAAATACATTTTAATATTCTATTGGTTTAATTATTTCTTTATCTTTTATATATTTCTATTTATTTTGTCATTATTGATGTTTTTTATGCAAGCTACCTTGAGTTCTAGTATTGGGAACAGGTGAAATATAAATTAAAAATAAATTAATGTTTGAGTAATTTGTGGTAGATTGGCAAGAATTTCTAATGACTGAATAACAGGAATTACCAGATTACTTCCATCCTGTCCTAAACTGAAATGCAGAAAGCCTGGGGCAACTGGGGGAGGATGATTGTACAGAAGGGCCCTTCAGTTCTGGCACTCAGAGCAAATTCCTGGGTTTGGGATTCTTTCATTCTGAGTACATGTCTTTTGTCCCAGGCAATGCTGTATGTGTCTTTTGGGACCCGGTAGGCTGGTCTGAGTCCCAGGAGGCTTTCCTATCTGAGAATGGACCCAAGGGCTTTGCTTTGGGTACTTAAAAGCCTCATTCCAACGCATGCTTAGTTGCAATCAAAATATAACCACCCAGGACTGTACTGCAGTCCATTGTCACTGTAAGTTGGAAGCCATTGCCATCTGCAGTATTAATACTCTACTACATTGCAGAGCTGTAAGTCACTCTGTCAGCCTCAGGACACCCAAACTGAAATACGGGAATATTGGGCTGTTTTGGCATTACAGTTTGCACAGGCAGGTCTATTTTTAATCATTTCCTCAGATCAAATATTTCTCATGAATCAAGCACAAGAATTCCCGTCCTGGTGGGCACAGGCTGGTATCAGATGCCACTGTATTGAATCCTGGATACCTGCAGTGACTTTTATGGGTAGCTCTCACTTCCGCCCCAGGGCAGCGGAAGAATAGTTTTACTGAAGCCTAAATCTGTTCCTATGTATGGTGTATATGAGGCTCTTCTTGTTTTGTAATATCTATACATCTTATTTTCGTGAGCAGGCGGAACGCCATAGACCAGAATAAATGCTAATGGGCGGGAGTTTCTTGAGTGACCACCAGGTTGACCAGTAATATTTGCCTCTTGACCGGGGAAAACCGCGGTCGATTAGGCAGACCAATAGAAAGTGGCAGTATGTTGGCGGGGAATTTTAAAATAGCGGGATCAACAATAACAGACAGTATGATGACCCAGTAAGAAACGAAGCTCAGCCAATGTTTACCCCCTCCCCAACTGCTGCTAAGGCGAATAAAATCTGGGAGGACACCATACTTTGCCAATGGATTGCGAGAATGGCAAGTATCCAATAGGAAATGAGGAAGTGGAGGGTCGCTGCCAAGCTCAGGGAATGGCCCAATGGGTACAGGAGGTTCACATTAACCGTTGATAAGCGTTTCATTTGGCCAGTGAGGGCCCCGCCACGAAGTACGGCTTCCCCAATGGGAGAAGCATAATGTTTCAGGGATTTTTGGCATGTACCGAATGGGGCGGGGCAGAGATTCTCCTGAAAGGAGGAACGCATGAAATTTGACAGACAATCAATTCTTCGAATGGAGAACTGAGAATCAGGGCCGCGTCCTCATTCGACTCTTGAAGGCGGGAATAATTTTGACGGGCACCATTGTTACCAAATAGGCTGAGGGCCGTCCCTGTCCAACGTGAGAGTGGGGAGGAAAATTGCCAAGAAGTCCCTCTCCCACCCAGTAGCAGAGCGAGACCAATTTCGAGTGGCGTTTCCCTCCGAGCCAATCAGCCCCGAGCCTACGGGTGTGAGGAGGAGGGGGCGCCCGTCTCCGCTTCGGGGGCACAATGGAGGCACAACGGGGAGAAGGCGGGCCTGCTGGTGATTGACGGGCGAGCGTGCCCAACGGCACGTTGCGAGAACAGGGCCGGGAAGTGACAGGCTTTCAAAGGGGCAAATAGCGCGGGGAGCAGGGCGGGCGCGTGGCGCGAGGCGGGTGCAGCAAGAGCGGCGAGTAAGAGTCGGTGCGCTCGGTCTGGCAGGTCTGTGGAAGAAAGAGGACGTGGGGAGGGAAGTGGCGCTCGGGAGGGAAAGTCCGTTGGGGGGGGGGGCGCCGCGCGGGCGGGGCGGGGCGCGCGCGCATGGAGCGGGCGGGGGGTCGCGTCGGACTTGGAAGGGCTGCGCGCGCGGGGTCCTGCGAGGTGAGAGGCGGGCGAGGGAGCGCCTGTGAGGGGGGCATGGAGGGGTCTCGCCGGCGTGCGAGGGGGAAGGAGCCGCGCGCGGCCGGGGGCGCCGGGCGGAGCGGAAGGGGCTTCGCCTCGCTCCAGCCCTCGCGCCTGGGCGCAGCTTCTTCCTCCAGAGGCCAGCGGGACCCCCGTTCCCTCCATCCCGGACAGTCCCCGCATGAAGCGCCTCCTTGAACAACCTCTAAAGATTCCCCCCTCCCCCAACTCCCTCCCTTGCCATGAATCTTTGTCCCCTTAAGTACCAAGGGGGTACCCCCTTTCCTCCCCCACACCTCCCCCTCTTTCATAGCAATTCAGTTCACACTGAGGGAAGCTCCCCCTTTCTATTTTGCATGCCCCCCTTGCAGTTTTCAGCATTGCACGTGCGCCCCTTTCCTTTTGCAGCACATTTAGGATATTTCACATGTCTTCCTTTCTCTCATAACCAGTATGGGCAAAGTGGTAAAGAAGCTGAATGCCTCTCCTGCATTCCTCGGACAGCCTCCATTGGGAGTCTTCTTCCCAGCAATTAACCCCCCCCCCCCACATTGTGGTGAAGTAACTGCTTTATATGTAGAAGGTCACAAGTTTAATCTCTGACATCTCTAGTTTAAAGAATTTTATGTAGCACATTGGTAAAAAAAAAAAAAATCCCCTGCCTGAGTGGTGCCTTTGATCAGACTAAATACTAGGTGAAATTGACAAATATTGTTGGTTCACACAGATCCATAGCTCAACATGGTTTATTTAAACCATGGTAACAGCAGCATGTATGGGATACATGTGGCTGTCATTTTGCTTATCCAACCACCTGCTTGGAGGTTGTCATGCTATGCAGATCTGGTGTTTTCTGGGCTGGTTAAACAACCCTTGAATAACTCTAGACCAGACTATGGATTATATGAGGGTTATGTAACCATACATAACCCATGCTTACCAGGCTCATGAGACATGGCAGCTCCTAAGTGGAAGCTGGATATTCAGAGTGATGCTCTTGAGTCAAATAATCACAGGTTCAAGTCCATCACAAAATACGGCAGCTTTCCATCTGTAATGTGTCAGTCTTTTTCTAGTCAAGATCAGAATAAATAATACTGGTGGTGCTGATGAAGTGCTTGCCCATGTAAGTATTACCCACAGCATACCACTGTGTGAGACATTGCCATTCATGGCAGCCTATGGGCAAGCCAGGGTTAATGACCTTAAATGGGTGAAAAGCTCTTGTGCTAATTCTACAAATTAATTGACATGCATTTGTGTGATTGGTTGTGTGCTGAATTTTACATGACCCATTAGCTACTATTGCTTCTGTTTTGGTCTTCGGTCTTGCCCTTGAAAGACAGGATGAAAGCAAGGAGAGAAATGTGGGAGGAGGAAAGGGGATGAAGTCCTCAGTACACTGGTGATGGTGGGACGTTATTATGAGGAAGTCCAGTGTGGGAAGCTGTTTGAAGGACTGTTCTGTACAAGGCACCTGCTTCCTCGCTTATTTGGACCTTTAATGATTTCTTAACATTGCTTATTATTTATGCAGCTCTTTGGCATTTGTCAGATTGTTATTTTTACTTCCTGCCCCTCTTTAAGGAATTTAAGGGGGCATAAGGAATCATTTCCCCCCTCCTACAACGCTCTATAAAGTAGTTTAGGCTTGAGATATGTTGACGTGCCCAATCTCATCCAGTGAACTTAAAGAAAGAGCTGAAATTTGAATTTGGGTCTTCTCTGCTTGAAGTTAGACCTCACTCATCTTGTTTCAGCACTATCATATGGATAAGAAGGTTGCCAATTCAGTACATTGAAACAACCTGCACCTGGTAAGGCTAATTATGCTCCTGAGGTGACTTGTGACTGAAACTCACTGGGAGGGAAAGTATGCTACCATGGTTTATCTGTGAGTGTGGGAATTCAGTTGTACCTATATCTTGTACATTTCATAAACAAACTGGTACACTGGAATTTATCAGGACAGACAGGCTATCTTTGAACACAGCTGCAAATAACAGACCAGCACAAATCATCCTTAGGTGGTGGGAAGCAGGCACTGATATCTGTTCCATTACCCACTTTTATAAAAGCATATTAAGAATCAAATAGCTTGCATAAGGATGTAATTGAAATTATGCTGCCACCCTGAATGGGCAAGTTTCCCATAATATTGTCTCAGGGAAGCTAACTTACATTCTGTGCTGGTGCTGGGAAATGGGACAGGAAAAAGGTGGGAAACAAACTGAAAATTTATGTTTGCCTATTGTGACTTTCTACAAGACAAAAACTAAGGAATTCTGGCTCAGGTATGGTGAGCATGAATTTGCATGTAAATACTCTTCTCTTGTGTCCTAGCCAGTTGTAAATGACATTCCTGGTCCCTAAAGAGCTTTCCAGACAAAGTCAACAAAGAGCTGTGGCAACTTAACAAATTTATTGTGGCATAAGCTTTTGTGAACGCTTTTGTTGAATTAGAGGGTGTTCACTAAAGCTTAAGCCATAATTTTATTAGGTGCCATAATTCTGCAACAGTCTTCATATGGTTATTCCACTGGAAGCCGTAGACAAAGATTTGTTTAAAACATTACAGCATTTTGGGTGGAGGTAGATTTTCTCTTTGGATATTCTCACAAAGAAGAAGAAAAGTCTTAGCTTATTCAGGTAGGTGGTTGTAATTTGTATGTGGGCTGTTTCCTATATGACTTGTTGAACAAATCTTGGCAACCAGAAATCCTTTGTTCTAAATCAATTTCATGAATTTGCATGCATATTATCAGTGGTTGAATAAGCCAAACTGATTGACCCTGAACTAAGCTTGCTCTCTTTCCTTGTCAAGCAGCAAGCTGGGCGCTGTTTACAGTGAGTCAAGTTATGAAGAGTGACATGTGGCAATTTTAAGATACTTTGTGACCCTGTATCTGATCTTTTGTTGCATCCAGGCCCCAACCTGCCTTCTTGGCTTACTTCCTGAAGGGTGATAGATCACAGCAGCTGACTTTTATATTACCTCTACTCAGTATCCTGAAGCAGCCATGCCACTGCATCAGCTTTTCAGGCAAGTCACTTAAAGTAAGGCTTTTGGTTAGCCTGTCTTTACTTGCTGCGCTGCAGCTTCTTAGAAGTTACAACCAGCCATCTTTGTTCAATCAGTTTTGATTTTGTGTCCCGCTTATCTAAAGAATTATGTTTATTGATCTGGTATCAATCCAGAATGAGAACGTATAAAGCTCATTGTTCTTATTTCACATTATAGTCTTGGTCTCAACCAAGCTATGGCATGGGTTTATGTTTACCCTTTGCAGGCAAGGACTAGAAACCTTTTTCAGCACAATGACCGAATTACAAAATGTGGAATGTTATCAGGGGTCACATTCTCTTTGGGAATGGGGCTATAGATAAAATGTACAGGGCTAACTATGATTATTACTATTTTAAACCTACTCAGAAATAAGGAGGATAAGGCATAGTGTGTTTTTTTTTCAGAGGTAGGAAGGACGGAATTACTTAGCAGCACTTTCGTATAGCTTGCCAAATATTAAGCCTCTGTGACTGTACTCACAGGTCAGCAGGGCTCTCACCTACAGAGTAAACACTTTGCATTTAATAGCACTGTATCTCCAATCAGAGATAACAGCACAAAAACCCTTGCAAACTGGATGGGGGAACCCTGTGGGCCAAAGGTTCCCCACTCCTTTTAGGGAGTGAATACAGAGACTGGTGGCTTGGTACTTGATTCAGATCCCTCCCTGATAATACTAAGAGTTATTTGGGTCCTGTTAATTCGGGTAATGGCAGTTACTGATTTGTCCAGTCATTTTAGGGTGGACTGTTCCATGGTAAACCTGGGACAGACAGACTTGTATTAATGTGTTTGTGTAGTAGCTCCTTATGGTGCCAAAATAAGGGATAGAGTGGTAGTCATGCGGGACAGTGTTCTTCATGTATCACCTGCTCAGATGCCGCCTGGAGCATTTTAGGGAACATTAGCCTGGCTTTGAAGAAACTTCTGGGAGCCAGAGCCTGACTTGGGTATGTGGGATAAAACGGCTCTTCTGATGATTTAAAATGGGGGAATGAATCAATTAGCAGACCTAGGGTTAGGACCAAAAACATCCCAATTTCTTATGTTAAGATTTATTGAAGGTGTTGCTAAGTTTTGTTCAGATTGAAGACGTGATTCTCAGGAAAATCAACGAAAGAGAGTTCTATTCTTAAATAAAGCAATGAGGTGTATTTCTGACTGTAGCGCATGAATGTTGTCTGGAGCAACATGTAGTCAGTCAGTAGTGGAATGACTGATGGTACTTTTCTGAGCTATGACCCAACCAGGAAGCTCACACTTACCTTTTTCCTACACAAGCAGTTGTTTCAAGAAAAGTATGTGTACTGTAGATGTGTCAGTTTTCATGGCTGGAAAATCCAGTGTGTCTGTAGATGTGAGCACTTGGTGCCGAGGATTCTAAGCAGGCTGGTCTATGCAGGGCTATTGCTGGAGATGGGGAGACCTCAGCATTAGGCCCTATGAATGTTCATTCCTTTTCCAGCCCTGTCTTTTGCTCTAATTCTTAAATGACCCTGCTGGAATCTGTCTTGGTAGCCTCAAGGTTTCCATGGTGCTGCTATACAGCCACCATGGAGTTCCCAGGAGAGAGCAGCAGCTGTAAGAGGGACTCCAGCCATCCAGTGTGGGACTGAATTTTAGGGATGGTGACTGATGGGATACATGGCAACAGTGGAAGGACTTAGCAAGGAGGGTAGAAACCACACTAATATAGAAACCATTGAATAGTCTGTCAGGCACATCCAGGCTCAGAAATGCACACCATGGAAACCACCTAGGACTGCTTGCTGTTATGTGTGAATCCAGCCCATGTATTGTCCTCTACTCTATGCAGTCCATCTCCTAGGAAACTTGCACAGTTGATATCCTTCTCTTACATCCTTTTTTTGCACTTCCTGAGAATGTGGATCTCCGTGATTTCGGATTTCAGAATTTTCATGGTACTTTTAATTGTGATATGATTTATGTAGTTATATTTAAGTTTTTGTCATGTTCAATATAAAGTCAATGCTTATAGAAGGGACTGTGTAGAAATAAAGCCTGTGGAAAATGCTTGGCTTGGAGTATTGAGAACAAATTTGGAGGTGAGGGGACAGATGAGTGATGGTATAGCAGCTAATGAATGGGAACCGCACTAGAGATACAGATGTTGTGGAAATTTTCAGCACATGGGAAAAAACCTGGACTGGGTGATGGGGAAGGTTTTCTCTAAGATCTTCATCTCTCTTTAGAATTCACAGGAAGGTTAAGTTAGAGTGAGTATGTGCATGAGCTCCAACTAAGTGGCTTCTTAAGATTCAGTACAGAGGCATTATTAGAAAAGTAGATGAACAGGTTGTATCCGATTTCCTTATTTGTGTGTCCTTAACTGTCCTGCTTCTCCCCTGCAGGTAGTAGGGCTGAGTACAGCATGGTTTTGGAAGGAAAATGGGTTCCACTCGGGTGACTGCAAAGGAGCTATGTGAGAATGATGACCTGGCTACAACACTAGTTCTTGACTCCTATCTTGGCTTTAAGACGCATAAAATGAACGTAAGGTGGGCAGTAGGATCTGAAAGACTCATAAAAATTACATTGCAACATGGGGTGCTGTGTTGCCTTCGCTGTGAGCAGTAGGAGGTTTTTTGGGATGTCCAGAAAGTGGTGTGGCAACTCCAGGTTTACTAAGAAGGAGATTATTTATTATTGCAATGATATCTAAAGCTAGCTAGACCTCCAAAACATTTTGCAACAGCCCCTTACACCACACCGTGGGGACCTCTGCAAGGTAGGATTCCAATCAGCTGGGTTCAGGTAGAAACAGTAGAATCTCCCTTGAAATCAGTCTGAACCAGAGCATAAAATAAGTGGCTAGCTTTTGTAGATCACAAACTTAAGGTATTCCACATATGCATACAGCATTCTATCCAATTTAAAGATATGGATACAAGAGTAATACTGTTTACACAGGTGCTAAGAAATAAAGAAATACAATGGATTAGTAAGGAGTATTCCTGTCTGGATGACCGAAGTTCCCTCACAAAGCAGAGGCTCATTACTGCCCTTTCCTGCAGAAATAATGGCTGATAAGGAACATTCAAGGCCGCAGATGTGCTGTGTGCGTGTTTCTTGAGCCATCTTGATATCAGAAAGGGAAGCTCCTTAGTGGTGTGAAAGCAGACTGTCAGGGTCAGGGAACACTGACTAAAGCTCTGCTGTACCATTGTAAGCAACTAGCCATAAATGGCAAGTGAAGCAAGCATTTTAAAGAGCTGGAGATCCAGGCCTGGCTTTTTAGGGTGCAGGCCTGTTACAGGCAGTACTCCTGGGATATTGGGGCATCATGAGCAGGGACCAAGTAAAGAGAACAGAGTGTTTCAAGACAGACCCTTCTCTCTTTCATTCCTGTAGCCCTCTCCCACCTATCAGAAGGAAGCACCATTTGCGGGAGGCGGTGGAAGCTTTCCGGAAGCGAAAGGACCTAGAAGCAGCCTATCAGTCCTTGATGCAGGGCGGATGGGCCTGCCACTACTTTGCGAATCGGAGCCGTCAGCAGGAGGCTGCCTTCAAGACTCATGTACAACTTTTGGTCTCTTGGTGGCTTGCGCAGTGGGTGGGAATGATGCCCAACCCTGGCAGGGCAGCTTCTGTAGTAATTTTTACTTCAAATCTATGAAGTTAACCAACAGTCTGTGTAATGTATTAATGATAACACTTAAACCCTGCAAGTATAAGTAACTGAAAAGTCTTTTAATTCAATGCCGCCTTTTTTTCTCCCCCAGATTAGATGTATGGAGCAAGTGCATATATGTTAAACATGCGCTTGCCCTGTTCATCTATACCCTGTGTGTGTGTGTCGTATTACAGTAGCCCTGTAAATAAATTAAGCCCTCAAAGTTGCTCCTGTGAAAAAGGGGATCCTCTTGCCTTTTACTCATAGGGGGACTTGGCAGAGGAGATACATAGAAGCTCAGCAAGCTGATGAAAAAGGTGTATTTTTGTGTTCCTCCACTGCTAGCTTACCATGTTTCTCAGCTAGGTGCACTGGAGGCAAAGGTCCTTCCTGCACTCCTAGCATAGACCTAAATAAGGTGGTGGTAAAGACATGGATCGCTCTGTTCCTTTATTATCAGCCCACCTGCTTCTCCTGTAGAATAAAAACAGTGGGCTGGTAGTAGAGAAAACCAGCTCTTCTGCTCTCTATCTGGGATATGTAAGAGGGAGCTTTGCCTTCCGGATGTCTTGTGTGACGATGCAGCTGCCTGCTGGAGGACCGACAGGGCATTCTGTGCTCCCAGGAGGAGCCATTTGGTTCTAACTAGGTGAGTGGTTAAAACACTGGGAGGCAGAGACCTCTCTTGGTCCCGAGGCTACATTTCCCCATTAGAACAAACTGAGCAGGGTCCTTCCCTGAAGCCCCTCCCAGGCCACAGAGAAATTACAGAGCAGAGTTTGGCTTAGTGAGGTAGCAAGGTTTTGTCTGCCGCCTCTGGGTGCTTGTATTTGTATAAGCAGAGCCTCCCCACCCTGCCCTCTGTATGGCAGCAGGACAAAAATATGTGTGAGAAATGCAATTGCCTCACATCTAGTTTGGCCCGTAATCCCCCTGCTCCAGTGGACTCTCTCCAGTATTTGCTTTGCCTGGCCATGATGTGCCCTCCCTTGCCAATCGCACAAAAGGCCCAGAGTGTTGTACCTATTGCAGTCTTATTATGTGTGTCTCTGCACGTCAACTAGAATTAAAATATAGCAATATGACACTTGAATTACATGTAGTGCTACCCATCTCCATCTACTTCAATTGGATATGTTGATGCAATTTTATAGTCCTCCTTCAATCATTTGTGGGCTTTCCTAGACAGCTGTGCTGCTTAGTGGTCTCAGCCTTCTCAAGAAGTAATGAATGTTCCCCTGTGGCTCTTATCTCTTTGTATTCATGGTGAGAAGCTCCTGAATGCTTCATGTTTCCAAGTCTGATGTATAGTGTCTGTGTGGGGATGTAACAGGAAGCCAGAACTCTGGCTCCTCCTGCAAGCAGGAGTGGTTAGACTATTCAGAAACAAATGCGAAAGCAAAAACTTTCCCTTGTGTCTGAGTCTCAGCTTGTCCCTTCCCTAACAAATCAGGATTATGAAACTGACTTTGAATTACGACTTCAGACTCTGGGCAACTGGGCAGTGTGCACCATTACAGTAATAAATGTTAAGCCAGAATTTTCAGCAGTTCTGGCTTATCTTTATGTGTGGACACTGTCATGGTAATTAAACCTTAAGATGTCTGCCCTTTAGTTTAACTGGTTTCATTCTGTCTCTGCTCAGGTTTAATTTTGGCTTCTGCATGTTTGTTGTAGGTTGGGCTCTGTTTTCCTTATCTCTTGCATCTCTGCTGGCTGAGGTGCCTTTTCCTTATGTTCCATGTGTGGACATGAACTTGGGCAAAATAATGTGCTCCATTCCTTTTTGCGCTTTCCTTTTAGTGGCCTTTCCATTGCCACCAGGTTAAAATCCTTTTTCCCTTCGGTTGCTTCCTCTGAACCAGCCTGCTAACTAACTTGTTTCTTAGGTCTGAAATATTCACTTGTAGATAGTGTGGAGGTTGGCTATTAAATGGGGGTGAATAAAAAAGGACTACAGTAAAAAGAAACCAAACCAAGTTTGGAAGTTTACTGGAAAAAAATGTTAATAGATTTTTTTTAAATCTTAGGATTCACACATATCATACAAACTGTATGAACAGCAGGGTAATGAAATAACCAGTGGTAAACACATTCAGCCAACCCAAATAGGAGCTGTCCCTATTTTCTTCAGGTCCATTACCAGCAAGATCTCATTCTTATGGCTTCAGCATTCTCAATAGACAATAGAAAAACCATGCTGGATCAGACTCATGTTCCATCTAGTCTAGTATTCCATTCATATGGTGGCAGCCAGTTGCTCACTGAATCACTCAAGCAGGATGGTGCAAGACCTTTGTCTGTCCAAGCTCCTCCTCCACTGGTGTACGCAGGCATGCCATGTCTGGTGAAGGAGGTAGCCCATAGCCAATAATGCTAGTAGCCACAGATAGTCTCCACTATCCATTAGCCTGGCCAATTCCTTTTTAAAGCCTTCTGTATTTGTCCATCACTACTACCTGTGGCAGAGTATTCCACAATTTAGCTTTATCTTGTGTGAAGAAGTACATGTTTTTGTCTGTCCTAAATCTTCTCCCAGTCAGCTTCAAAAGATGACCCTGGGGCTGAGTGTTGTGGGAAAGGGAGAAAAATGTCTCTCCATTTTTTCCACTCCTTGCATAATTTAGCATAATGTAGACTTCTAGCATGTCTCCTCTTACCATTTTTCTAAGCTGAACAATTCCCAGCTTCTGTAGCTGATCCTCATAGGAGAAATACTCCAACCACTTGACAATTTTTGTTGCCCTTTTCTATATTTTTTTCCAGTTTAGTAATGTCCTTATTCAGGTGAGATGACCAGAACTGAACACAATACTCTTTAAGTGCAGTCACAACCCAAATTTGTATGAAGGGAGTAATATTTTCTATTCCATTCCTACTTATGCCTAGCTTGGAGCTTGTCTGTTTTACAGTGGCTGTGTGCTGGCCTGAAATTTTCATCAAGCTGCCCTCTACTACTCAAAGATCCCTTTTTGCTGTGTTGCTGCTAGTTCTGATCTCTTCACCCTGTACTTTGAATTGGGATATTTTACCCCAACATGCAATACTTTAGACCTGCTTATACTGCACTGTATTTGCCATTTAGATGCCCATTCCCCCAGCTTGCTGAGAGTTTCTTACAATTGGAGTTTCTTACAATCCTTTATGGTTTTGACCATTCTAAATCGCTTTGTGTCATCAGCAAACTTGCCCACTTCACTACTTACTTCTAATTCCAGACCATTAATGAATAGGTTGAAAAGAATTGGTGACATCTCTCCACTGGGAGAAATCGTCATTTCTTCCCACCCTCTGTCTTCTGTTCTTTAACCAGTTAGTGATCTGTTATTTAACAGGCTAGTAAAGGATTTACCCTTTTATCCGGTGACTGTTTAGTTTTCTCAGAAGTCTTTGTTGAGGGACTTTGCCAAAAGCCTTTTGTGAGACAAAACTTCCCCTTGCTGAAGCTATCCTGAGTTTATCTCATCAGGGATTGTCTGTCTATATCAGTGGTGGTGAACCTATGGCATGTGTGCCACAGCAGGCATGCAGAGCCCTATCTGTCAGCACACGAGCCAAGTCACCCCTGCATTGCCCGGGCAGCCGAGCATCGGATAGCAGCCATGGGCATGCTTGGAACGGGGAAGCCATGCTAGATGATGACGTCACAAGCTGCAACTCATTTGCCACAACTCGTCCAAGCTTTCGCATGGCTGGTCAATGTGCTGCCAAGATATTCTCTCGCTCTCGCTCTCTCTCTCTCTCTCTCTCTCTCTCTCTCTCTCTCTCTCACACACACACACACACACACACACACACTAGCTTGCACTGGCTGTGAGTTGCCATTTCTAAACTAAATCCTCAGTTTTCAGGTTTTATTGCAGTGTGGGTTGCGGGTTGCAGTTTGGGCACTTGGTCTCTAAAAGGTTCACCATCACTGGGTTAAGGTTTAAAAAAGGAGGTGTCCTGGCATGGATTTGATGGTTGGAGTGTGTTTAGGATGGGCAGAAATGTTGAGCTGTGCAGAAAAAGCCACTCAAGGAAGGCTTCTTTGAAATCGCCCTCTTTTGAATAGAACTTTAGCCCTGTATTAGGGTTAGGGGTGTGCACCAGGGTAGGGTTAGGGTTAGCAAAACGAGGTGTCCTGGCACGGTTTTGATGGTTGGAGTGTGTTTAGGATGGGCAGAAATGTTGGGCTGTGCAGAAAAAGCCACTCAAGGAAGGCTTCTTCAAAATCGCCCTCTTTTCAGTGGAACTTTAGCCCTGTATTAGGGTTAGGGGTGTGCACCAGGGTAGGGTTAGGGTTAGAAAAACGAGGTGTCCTGGCACGGTTTTGATGGTTGGAATGTGTTGAGAATGGGCAGAAATGTTGAGCTGTGCAGAAAAAGCCACTCAAGGAAGGCTTCTTCAAAATCGCCCTCTTTTCAATGGAACTTTAGCCCTGTATTAGGGTTAGGGGTGTGCGCCAGGGTAGGGTTAGGGTTAGCAAAACGAGGTGCCCTGGCATGGATTTGATGGTTGGAGTGTGTTTAGAATGGGAAGAAATGTTGAGCTGTGCAGAAAAAGCCACTCAAGGAAGTCTTCTTCAAAATCGCCCACTTTTCAATGGAACTTTAGCCCTGTATTAGGGTTAGGGGTGTGCACCAGGGTAGGGTTAGGGTTAGCAAAACGAGGTGCCCTGGCATGGTTTTGATGGTTGGAGTGTGTTTAGGATGGGCAGAAATGTTGGGCTGTGCAGAAAAAGCCACTCAAGGAAGTCTTCTTCAAAATCGCCCTCTTTTCAATGGAACTTTAGCCCTGTATGAGGATTAGGGGTGTGCACCAGGGTAGGGTTAGGGTTAGCAAAACGAGGTGCCCTGGCATGGTTTTGATGGTTGGAGTGTGTTTAGGATGGGCAGAAATGTTGGGCTGTGCAGAAAAAGCCA